GACAACTTAGTATGGCTACTTGGTATGGCTACTTGGCATGGCTACTTGGCATGGCTACTTAGTATGGCTACTTGGTATGGCTGCTAGTGTGGCTACTTGGTATGGCTACTTAGTATGGCTACTTAGTGTGGCTACTTAGTGTGGCTACTTGGCATGGCTACTTAGTGTGTCTACTTGGTATGGCTACTTAGTGTGGCTACTTGGCATGGCTACTTGGTATGGCTACTTAGTGTGGCTACTTGGTATGGCTACTTGGTGTGGCTACTTGGCATGGCTACTTAGTGTGGCTACTTAGTGTGGCTACTTGGCATGGCTACTTAGTGTGGCTACTTGGTATGGCTACTTAGTGTGGCTACTTGGTATGGCTACTTGGTATGGCTACTTAGTGTGGCTACTTGGTATGGCTGCTAGTGTGACAACTTAGTGCGGCTACTTGGTATGGCTACTTAGTGTGGCTACTTGGCATGGCTACTTGGTATGGCTGCTTGTGTGACAACTTAGTGCGGCTACTTGGTATGGCTCCTTAGTGTGGCTACTTGGCATGGCTACTTAGTGTGGCTTCTTAGTGTGACTACTTAGTGTGACTACTTAGTGTGGCTACTTGGCATGGCTCCTTAGTGTGGCTACTTAGTGTGGCTACTTAGTGTGGCTACTTAGTGTGACTACTTAGTGTGGCTACTTGGTGTGACTACTTGGCATGGCTACTTAGTGTGGCTTCTTAGTGTGGCTACTTGGCATGACTCCTTAGTGTGGCTACTTAGTGTGACTACTTAGTGTGGCTCCTTAGTGTGGCTACTTGGCATGACTCCTTAGTGTGGCTACTTGGCATGGCTCCTTAGTGTGGCTACTTAGTGTGGCTACTTGGCATGGCTACTTGGCATGGCTACTTAGTGTGGCTACTTAGTGTGGCTACTTAGTGTGGCTACTTGGCATGGCTACTTGGCATGGCTCCTTAGTGTGGCTACTTGGCATGGCTCCTTAGTGTGGCTACTTAGTGTGGCTACTTGGCATGGCTACTTGGCATGGCTCCTTAGTGTGGCTACTTGGCATGGCTACTTAGTGTGGCTACTTAGTGTGGCTACTTGGCATGGCTACTTGGCATGGCTCCTTAGTGTGGCTACTTAGTGTGGCTACTTGGCATGGCTACTTAGTGTGGCTACTTGGCATGGCTACTTGGCATGGCTACTTAGTGTGGCTACTTAGTGTGACTACTTAGTGTGACTACTTAGTGTGACTACTAGGGTGGCTACTTAGTGTGACTATACTAGGGTGGCTACTTAGTGTGACTACTAGGGTGGCTACTTAGTGTGACTAGTTAGTATGACTATTCAGTGTGGCTACTTAGTGTGACTCCTTAGAATGACTACTAGTGTGGCTACTTAGTGTGGCTACTAAGTGTGACTAGGGTGGCTACTTAGTGTGACTAGTTAGTATGACTATTCAGTGTGACTACTTAGTGTGGCTACTTAGTGTGACTTGGGTGGCTACTTAGTGTGGCTACTTAGCATCACTACTTGGTAAAGCTACTTCACATTTCTATTTGATATGGAGGCTGACTGTACCTGGGAAGGTTATCAAATGTCATGCTTTTATTCTTCTGACCACTACTTTCTCTGCTCCTGATTTTATCATTGATGCGGTGAAGTTTCTGCAAAACAATGGTAACAGATTATATCATATTCACTCCCAATACCAATACAAAAAACCTGTACCAATGAAGTTATAGCAGCAATAAAAACAACAATACAGAGCATAGTTTCAACCATACACTGCAGTTTGCAAACTGAAGGTCAGGATCATACATTTAACTGGGACAGCCGTAAAGTTTAACACAAAGTTATTTGTGGGGAAAATGTGACAGTAACAGATCTTTATATTTCATATCTGATGCATATCAAAAAAAGACAATGATTAATATATCTGCCAATTCAATCTAAAATTTCATATAATAATGGCTTTGATTAATGTTTGGTGATTCATCTTGTGTGTGTGATAGTTGTGATATTACCAGAGGTAATTACAAAACAAACCATGCTTGTGACAGATGGGGGCTCACAGGGTCTAGTTATCATTAGGAAACAGTGTTAGGTATTGCATGCATGCTTCACACTTCGTCCTGCCTGGTACCAAGTTTACACAGGTTGCCTGATATATCTGGCATGAAAATAGGATACATATCTGTCATTTAATGCTGGATTCAAAGCAGAAATGTGTCCACTGTCACTTGATGGAATGGACCCAGGTTGGAAATAGGCCCCCTGTCACTGAAGGGAACACAGGTTCCTGTCAGTAGATTCCCCGTCAACCCATTACATCTGTAAGGTCCAGGTGGTCAGATTTGATGGCTTGGCTGATTGTGTGTCATCATGCACTGTAGCATGTATTGTTGCTCGTGTTTTCATTCACTGGTTTGTTTAGTCCAGACTTGATTATTGTCCCCCGCCGCGCGAAAGCGCGTAGCGGGGGATATAGTATTCACGACCGTCCGTACGTACGTCCGTACATCCCACCTGTTTGTTGCCGCGATATCTCAAGAACTAAACGCTGGATTGTCTTCATATTTGGAACTATGGTGTATATACAAATTCCGCAGACACCAGTCGGTTTTGGTGACCTTGACCCCATTTTCAAGGTCACAGCAGGCAAATCTGCTTTTGGAGTTGGAAAACGGTGTTGCCGCGATATCTCAAGAACTAAACACTGGATTGTCTTCATATTTGGAACTATGGTGTATATACAAATTCCGCAGACACCAGTCGGTTTTGGTGACCTTGACCCCATTTTCAAGGTCACAGCAGGCAAATCTGTTTTTGGAGTTGGAAAACGGTGTTGCCGCAATATCTCAAGAACTAATTGCAGGATTGTCTTCATATTTGGTACTATGGTGTATATACAGGCGGGGGACATTTCGTCACTTTGTGACAAATACTTGTTTACAGGCTGCCATGACACAGCTGCCACTCACTCACATGCAATACAGTTATATCTTTAAAGAAAGGATGTGAGTTGTCTACAGCACCTTCTGCTTCTGATCCAGGGATCTGTTCCACAAAGCTATCACAGCACTAAGGTGATTGTACTCCCATACTTCAACACAGACTTACGATGATCGTAGTGTTAGGTGGTCGTAACTCCCATACTTTAACACAAACTTATAATGATCGTAGCGCTAAGGTGGTCGTAACTCCTATACTTCAACACAGACTTACGATGATCGTAGCGTTAAGGTGGTCGTAACTCCCATACTTTAACACAGACTTACGATGATCGTAGCGTTAAGGTGGTCGTAACTCCCATACTTTAACATAGACTTACGATGATCGTAGCACTAAGGTGGTCGTAACTCCCATACTTTAACACAGACTTACGATGATCGTAGCGTTAAGGTGGTCGTAACTCCCATACTTTAACATAGACTTACGATGATCGTAGCGTTAAGGTGGTCGTAACTCCCATACTTTAACACAGACTTATGATGATGGTAGGGCTAAGGTGGTCGTAACACCCATACTTTAACACAGACTTACGATGATCGTAGCACTAAGGTGGTCGTAACTCCCATACTTTAACATAGACTTACGACTGTCATTGCCCTACGATCACTGTGTGGAACAAGGCCCTAGGCAGCCATACCTAACTCAATGGTTCATCCTTCTTCAAACCTTCATGTTACCTCAGTTGTACACCATCTTATACACCCATGAAAATCTGGGTTAGAATTGGCATTCAGCAGCCCATCCTTGTCGTTAGAAGAGATCGAGTTGTCAGTTGTATTCCTGTTGATGTGGGTCATTAAACGGTCCTTCCTTGAAATTTCTACAGCTGTTACATCCTCTTGTATTCCATGGATGTTGGTGATTCAGGGGATCTGTCATCATTTCACTCAGTCTAATGTACAACAGCTTGTATCAGTTCTTTGTTCCAGGACAGTTGAGGATGATTGAAAGGTTCATCATCATTATCTGTCTTTCATTTTCATAAACGTAGTTCTGTTGGGTATAATATCTTTTTCATATCTTGATGGACAGGTAGAAGACATTTCCAAATTTGATGCATATGTGACAAAAATGATGTCTGATGCAGTTCCCTATTTTGACCATATGTTCCCATGCTTTTTCAGGTGAACTATTGACTTGCCTTTGCATGTGTTTGTGATGGTTCAGGATATGCTCATCTTTTTGTGAATACCTGGTATCCTCACAATTTGATCATGTTTATTAACACATGCTCATGATTTAGTCAGAATGGTACAATGGCCTCATTTTTTTGTGTTTATTGAAAGGGTTTGGCGCTTTTATTTAATTATTGTGTTCCAGATGACCCTGAGATGTTAAAATAGTTCATCATCACTGCCCATCATTCATGCTATAACAGTATCAATACAATGTACATCAGCTCATTGAGGTTGATTATTAAGATCTATGATCTTTCAAACCTTCTAGCGCTCATATGTGGCAACACAATGTTCAACATTTAATCTTGTTTTCAAGGGATAAGGTGTGGCTGTCAAGATCATTAATCATTCAATATTTCATGCAACTACAACTGTATTAATGCATTGTGCAACATCTATTTCACTACAATATACAATATTTCATGATCAATCTTGTATTCCAGGGATAAGGTGTGGTTATAACAAGATCTGTGATCATTCAATCCTTCATGAAACTACAACTTTATAAGTACATTGTACAACATTTGTATCAATACAATGTTCAGCATCTCATGATCAATCTTGTATTCCAGGGATAAGGTGTGGTTAACAAGATCTGTGATCATTCAATCCTCCTTGCAACAACAACTTTATTAATACATTGTACAACATCTCATGTCAACTCTTGTATTCCAGGGATAAGGTGTGGTTAACAAGATCTGTGATCATTCATCCCTCCATGCAACTGCAACTTTATCAATACATTGTACAACATTTGTATCAATACATTGTACAACATTTGTATCAATACATTGTACAACATCTCATGTCAACTCTTGTATTCCAGGGGTGAGGGGTCATCATGGACAAGGTTTACCTCAAGTACAAGGAGTCGTTGATGAACTCACAACGCCTCATGGATGAGCTCGCCATTGACCACGAGGGGGACAGCCTCGGTATGGGGATTATCCGAAAGGAGATGGACCTCAACAATGACGAAAAGCAGTACCTGTTGGCGGTGGAACGAGGAGACGTCCCGTCAACAAGGAACTTCCTCAACAACCTCTCTGTGAATGGCATCAACATCAACTGCGTGGACCCACTGGGTCGCACGGCGCTACAGGTGGCCATCGAGAATGAGAACATCGAGATGATTGAGCTGCTGCTGTCGTTCAATGTTGAAGTGGGAGATGCTTTGTTACATGCAATAAATGAGGAGAATGTGGAAGCAGTGGAGTTGATACTTAACCATGAAGTAAATACCAAAGGAGAAGAGGTGAGTTGAGAGTAGACATTTTCAACCAAGGGACCGATTATTGCAGAGATTTAAAGCTAAAAAAGATAGAATTATCATTAAACCGCCCACACGTTATCAGAAATGAGCGGGCCACTGTAACTTGATAATGCCCTCATATTGCTTGACAGCGGGCCATAATCAAGCCCGTTGTTAGGTGACGTCATAGGGTAGAGAAAGTGAAGTCACGTATTATAGTGACGTCATCTGGTTTGTTCTATGACGTCGGGCAGTTAATGGAAGACCTCTGGCTTCTGCAAATGATAATGCCCTGAAAAATAGCGTTACCCTTATATTATACAAATTTACACTTGCCTTTATTTTCCAAACAGAAAAGGTATTTGGTGTTCCTGTGATTGTCAATGAAATCGACTGGGTTTATAATAACACAAACTGCTTGAGCGCATTCGTATTACTGTAGTTTGGTAGTCTTGTCACAGGTACGTACCTACGATCGTCTTGGGTCCCAGGTAATCACAACTTCAGCACTAGTACTGCGTCACATGAGCAACACAGCTTGTATTTACGAAACCTGTATAACATAGTATACATGCGGCACTATATGCGGGTAGTTGCTCCCAATGCTTGGGCATGTAATTTGTGCTGGATAAGGCTGATGCTCAACCACAGGTTTCATTGTTATAGTTATAGGGGTAGTCTTGTATGCATATGCTATTTGTCAGTTATCATGTGTTTGTTAACTTTATTATAAATTAAATGTCAAGAGTCCCTGCATTCTTCTGGCAATTTGTTTTATAGAAAAGTTGAGAAAAATGTTTTTGGTGTTTTTTTTAGATAAAATATCTGTTGGCTCCTCACATGATGAAATGATCAGTTTCTCAGTCTGTTATTTGCATTGTGTGATTTAGGGAAGTGCTTTCACAGAATGAGCCGTAATCTCGTCAAGGAGTTCAAGAATGAGGTGATGATCCTTGTTCTTTACAATTAATCTTCCATATTGCCTCCAAGAACAGTGTATTTAGAGCTTAGATGATGAAGAATCCTGTCTATATAAAAGACTTTCCCAGGTTTACTTTTAAACCGAAATAGACAATTCTTATGCCAGAGGTGCCAGAAAGATTGATATCAGTTGTCTTAAAAATCTATAATTCTGCCATTTTGTGCACATTGGCAATTTGGTCTGTTGAAGACGACATTATGGGACCTTTGGGTTTGATAGATTCTTGTAGAAAACCGATTCCATTGCCAAATGTTACACTCTAGCTGCAATATTGATAATGCACTTATCGAACTCATGTGTTGAAAGAACAAAATAGGCGCATCTTTGAGATGGGCTTCATATTTAATGACTGAAAACATGTACTGTTTCATGAAATATTCTGCCAGTGATACATCACAGAAATGGGGAAATTATGCATTGTTACCGATCTTGTACTCCACTGAAGTCATGTATCTGCCATTATTGTAAACTAAATAAAATGTCAAAGCCAGAGAATAAACAATCTGGATTATCAGATAGATTCCATTGGGCGCAACAGGCAAAATAGCAGTGAAAATGATATGAATGGATCACTGAAAATCAGTGATGACAGCAATGCGTAAGTAGAGAATATGTTGTAACATTTGCTGAGATGGATGAAACTTGTACGGTGCTCAGAGCACAGTTGCTTTGCGGAGTTATGCCCCTTAGCCATGCCATGACCTGAAGGTTCTTGGTTCGAATCCCAAATTCATCCTGATAATGATCTTGGGACAGTCAATATTATATGCACATGCATGGGTTTCATCATAGCGACTTGACCGCCTCATTGGTCTAGTGGATTCTGCATCTGCCCAGAGAGCGCAAGGTCTGGGGTTTGATCCCCAGCCTCGTCATACCAAAAAACATTAAAAGATGGTACATGTTACCCTGTCTGATGCTTTGCATTAAGAGGATAAATCAGGACTGATTGGCTCGAAGTCAGTGTTCTGCATCTGAGTGGGATATCCATGTGGGATATCCATCAAACTGCGTCTTGGTATCTCAAGTGTCTGGCACTATAACACCAACACTAGTCCCATGAGAACAAGCAGCCACACACATACACACTCACACATGCATGCATGCCCATCGCTATATAAGCGCAATTATCTTAAACCCCATTTCACCTCACCTCATTGTTCTAAGGGTCCATGTCACTAAGTGTCACTTTGAGGTGCAATAAGTAGTATAATTACAACTAGTGATTCCTCAAGTGTAGGGGCACAGATGGCACAGTGTTCTAAGGCACCAATTACAAAATTGTATACTTTGGCTATCTCATTCACAAGAATCCATTGTACTCAACTCCAACCTACAGTTTGTAACCTGGGTGAGTGAGTGCGAGTGAGTTGGATTTAACGCCGCTTTTAACAGTATTCCAGTTATATCGCGGCGTGTCAGCTTAATGTGGGAGGAAAGCCCGAAGTGATGCAGGTCTCAGACGTTTACCACTTCGGTGAAACCCACGAGCACGGGTATGGTGCTGACAAACCTAGAAACGTAATCGGGGCAAACCGGGATTCGAACCCACAATCATAGGTTTCTGGCGTGCCCAAGGGATGCAACTCTGCACAGTGAATCGCGGCGCCTTAGACGACTGGGCCACCCGTGCCCCTTGTAACCTGGAGACTGTTGTGATTGAACAACGGTTATAGCATCACCAATCTCGAGACAGCTTCTCTTGTCCCTTGAAATATCGTATTCACCATACTAAGCACCCTGCTCCAGTTAGCATCCCCCGACCAATTTCTTGACCAGTCCTACTAAAGCTGAAAATTCGCATGACAGTCGACAACTCAAAACAAGTTAGGCACACCCACAATAATTATTGGAAGGCAGTGTGTTGCAATACTAGCCATGACAGATTGACAATAGTCATATGAAAAAAATTGGATGCTCTTTAATTTCTTTTGAGTAGTATATGTTACATACTTTAACAGAAAACAGCAGCATGGAAAAGTTATATACTCAAGGGCAAAAGTTCTTGTGCTATACAAAACACAAAGAGGATCGGTCAAACTACTGTACTGCTGTGAATGGAACTATTTAACATAGAAAGATCAAGATCTGAGGGTATGGTAATGAACAACAGTCCATATAAGGAGTGCTCCTACAATATGCAAATGAGTCTTGCCACCCGAAAGAGTTCAGAGGCAAGTTCATGTTACAAGAACTTTTGCTTTGAGTATGTTATTGCCCAGTAACCATTATTGATAAAAGTTTTCATTTCATCGTCTTTGAACTTAGTCTGGTCACAACTGCTTGAACACATTTAATTCATTGTGTATGGTTTTAATAGATACCCTCTTCCGTCAACCCAGGACGCTTCTTCCAGCGATTATGGTAAATGGGCTTTTGCTGATGCAAGTAATTTGGTTATAGTTTAACCATCTTTTGTATTTTTGAAGTGGTTTTGTTGTAATATTTTATGGTGAAATCACAATTTCTCAAAACATATTTTAAACCAAAACATTATTTTTAGTCTTTTTGTTTATTTCAACCTTATATAGTTATAATTGTGTTCATTATAATTCCTGCATTATAATTAGCTGAATTGGTCACATGTTATTGCATTCCACTCCCAATGAACGTATAAATTAGCAACGCACAAAGGAAGCTTGCTCGTCTATTGTTATTTTTCACTCGCCTGGGTTCCACAAATTTCATGTCTTTGGGATTTAATTTCTAACCCACATTTTTCCAACAGTCTTCCCATTCTCAGGGAACTAATGTTTGAATGTGGTGGTTACTGACCATGTCATTTGAAACAGCCACCTTCTCCTGGATATATTTGTTCCGTTGGTTACAGTCTGACTGCTGCAGTTCTTCCTGCTTCAGATCCTTCTCTCCATTGATTGCAACTGATTTGTGGGCGTGTCAAGTTATGTGTATAAATTAAACAATCACCTGATTCACGTCATGCCACAGTATTCCTACTCCTGGAATGTTTATCAATCTTGACATTTTTGTCTGCTTTGATTTATACAACTGTTTATTTATTATTGTTGTTAACCCTGATGATTCATACAGTTTGCACATTGCTTTTTCGATTCATACCTCAATGAACCGAAAAAACACGCAGTTAATCCTTAAATGAATACTGTCTTAGTAGCATGTGATTCTCTATATGGCCTAATACTTTCCCCAAATGCAGCATTAATTCTTTATTCTCTGACTCAGTAAAAAGTGTTTTTTTCAATAAATACTGTACCTGATATTCTGTAATTTACCATCAGAATATGATTAAAGAAGACAAAGGTTTGAATTTAGATTAATCAGAAATCCTCTTTTTAAAACCAAAATTCATTTTGTGTATTGTTCAGAATTCATACATGACCACACTGATGTTTTTATATGACGTTTTGACAATTTATATGTAAATGAATTCACATTATATTATTTAAAAATGTATTGAATGGCAGTGTATCAGCATGCCTCTTCTCTGGACCTTGTGTGCTGGTTATTCAAGTGTGTGTCCTGCACTGTGCCAGCCTGCATGAGGAAGACATGTGGCAACTATGCACCAGATGGCGTTGATATATGGCACATATATGGATATATTCTGGTGTGAATAGTTCAAGCATGATGGTTTAAATAGAATTGAATCTATGAAAATTATTGATACTTTAAAGGAAAATGTTTGCGGAACATTTTCAGTCAGTAAATGTCATTGTGTGAAAAGAAATCAAAGTTTCGTTATGTCATGAAAGTCATTGTGACCGATGATGGCTTGGAATAGTTATGTTTCACTGTAGTTTAATTCAAGCCTTTAAACATAATGAAGTAAGTTAATGGCGTTGAGTATAAATGCCAAACATTGACAATTTATTTCATTTTCATATGGATGCTATAAGGAGTGACATTTACTTTAAAATGAAATAGTCCAACATTTAATGCTCACACCACACACCTTATCCACACCCATTCCCATAACACGCCCACCTTTCATGTTCACACCCTCACCCACACCCAGATTCACACCCACATTCACATCCACACT